TGAAATATGGTATCTGTTTAAAATTTTTAGTTATAGTCTGAGATACATTTCCATAACCTTTAATGCTGTCGTTTAAACCCAGAGAGTATAACGTCTGAAGTGCACGAATCCAAAAATATTCTGCGTCAGTAAGGTATTTTGCATTACTAACTGTTTGCAATATATGAACTCGTAAATCTTTTGCAGTATGTCCACTTGTATGAAAATGTGTGTACAGTAAAGTTGTATTAGCCCCTTTATCTATGTTATTTTTGTGTTCCTGAAATCGAACTTGTGGTGTACGCTTAGTTTGACTTATACACTGTATACCACATCTAGAACATGTAATGCAATAAATAAGATTAATTGTTTTGCAGTTTAATCAATCTCCAGGATTTGATTTTATAATATTAAACGTTCTGCCAGAAACAGAAGAGCGACCGTATCCTATTTCGTTAACGGCACTACAGCAAGCGCAACACGGTCCACAATGTGTAGTTGCAATTTTTGGGAGTTTATTAAGTAGTTAAATTCTAAATCCAATACCACTCGATAAAGACGACGATTAACTGAGCCGTCACCTGTGGCCTGTTGGATCAGGGAGGACGCAGGTGGCAACCCATCCATCCTGATTATGCGTTTTTTGCAGCAATGCAATGCGAAAAACGCACATTGACGAGAGGTTGTGTGTGTGTCTGTGTGTGCGCTGGGCCTCTGTACCGATTCTTTATCTCGAGACCGGCAAAAGCTACGGGGCTGAAACTTTGGGGACTTAATCTACATGCACGTACGGATCCCTATTCCCAAAATGGGTGGTCTTTCTCGCGTGGTACCCCTGTAAGGCCCCGCCAAAGTTTTTTACGGGTAAGCTGATAACTCGCGAACCAGAAAAGCTAGAGAGCTGAAATTTTGTGGAAATGTTCCCCGTCCAAGTAGGTACTAATGAGCTCAAATCCAGCCCCCGGGTAAGTGTGGTATCCACGTACGAGCCCTCCCCCCCCCCAAAATTTTTCCGCTTAAATTCATAACTTGGGGTTCTGAGATGCTAGAGAGCTGAAATCTTAGGGGGGGTGTTCCCTGTCTAAGTGGGTATCAACGAGTTCAAACCCTGCCCGCGGGTAAGCGTGGTACCTACGTACAGGCCCGTGAGAAGTTCCTTCCGGGTAAGTTACTTATCCGAGAACGTGAGAAGCTAGAAGACTGGAATTTTGAGGGGATGTTTTCTGACAGTTCTGGTCGCCAGTCTGAAATTCTTCCAGCTAGATGCATGTGCCGAAAAAACCGATGCCGGTAGGGATAAAAACTGCGGGGAGCTCTGCAAAAAACGCATCTTCGCACGGGCAGTCCGTGCGTTGGCTAATTATTTGAGTCAGAGGTGCGGTTTGTTTTATCTCGAGAACCTGAAAAGCTAGAAAACTAGAATTTTAAGAGAATTTTCTCCGTCCAAAAAGGTATTAATGAGTTCAAAGCCAGCTCTCGGATGTGCGTGGCACCCACGTACGAGCTCGCCAAAATTTTTCCGGACAAGTTGCTAACTCGGGAACCTGAAAAATTAGAAGACTGGAGTTTTATTGGGATGTTCCCCGTACACAAAGGTCTTAATGAGTCCTCGCCCAGTCCACGGATATGTGTGGTTCCTATGTATGGGTGTAAAGCGAGCAAAAGATGGCGCGCAGGAGAAGTAAAGAGCAATCCAGAATCGCGCAGCAAATTGACCTGTGATTTGTCCAACCATATGTGATGAGTATTTAAGCCTGTAACTTTGTTGTAAAGTTCAGTATGTATTCCGTGTTTATCGTCGGCGTTCAGTGCGTTCCGTGTTTGGCGTTCAGCGGTCCATTGCAGCAGTGTGCTGCTGCATTCCAGTAATCAGCACTCTTCGTCTGCAGCGGCTGACGCTGCAATCGTCCGACTTGATCCCGTCGCTCCAACGACTCACTTGTAAACTTGTATTGGTGTTGATAAATTTCGTTTGTTTATTCCAGTCTCTCCACTAAGCGCCACAGCACATCAGCGCTCAGCCAAGTCCCGTCCAACCGTAACAGCATCGTAACGTCGCCGTCGTAATGTGGGGGCTGAGCCGGCTAGATTGCGATTTTAAAGCGACCCAGCTGAAGGGAAGAAGCAGCAAAAACACAGCGAGCCCGGCGGATCACGCAAGAAAAAGCCAAAAAGACAGAGCAGCAGTTGAGCTGCTAGCACGGGACCAGCAGTTGCACTGCGCCTCGCGCAAGAGGCAATGGGGATGAGTCGCGAAAGCTCGCGAAGAGGTGAGCGAGGCGACGACCGGCGTGGGGACAGAGCCCCATTAGGCGTGGATGGCGGAAGTTTCGGCTGCAAAGAGGTAGGTGGGTTTTCGGAGGAATTTTGGGGCAAGGTAGAATGGGCGATAGATTGGCTCCGTGTGGGGAGCGTAAACGAAGTTAGTGAGGCCCTGGAGGAGGTCCAGGTGCGAGTCATGGAAGGAGTGGTGCCACCCAGAGTGCCATCACGGCAGTAGAAGAGTGCTTCCAGCCATGGGAGGCTGTAGAAGCTGCCTGGCAAGAAGAGCAGCGGGAGGCCGCTAAGGTCCTGCTGGACTTGCAACAGGCCAGAACAGAAGGAGCACTGGGGAAAACCAGTGACGAGCTGACTGCTGTGGCCCAGCAGTTCGGAGTAGAATCCGCGTCACAGTTGTGGAGGAAGCTGTATGATCGAGCAACCGGCGTCTGGTCTTATTGGAACGACAGGCTCAACGGGCACGTCAATCGCGTGAGTCTTTGCTTTCGAGTGACATGCCTTTAGGCGCAAGTGCCAGCGGCATAGCTCAACAAAGCAATGCCGAGGGTGTAAGCGCTGCGTTTGAGCAACTCCTGCTGCGGTATACGCAGCGGATGCAGACACAGCTTCCTGCCTTAGAGAAGTTCTCTGGGAAGGGGAACAGGACTGAGGCCAAATTCCAAGATTTCATTGAGGATTCACTCTCCGTTATCGGTACGAGTCGGATGGGACGAAAGTATGGTACTTGCGGTCCTACTTAACAGGATTAACTCTGGATGCATTCCTGGGGATCCACGTACACATCCGAGAAGAGGGGACTTTCGCAGAAGTAGTATCTGCATTAAAAAAGGCGCTGGTAGATACGTCCCGAGTCACCAAGTTGATGTTGCAGAATGAGTTAAGTAAAATAGAGTGGCGTAATGGAGAGCCTCTGGTAGAATTCTTTGCCCTGGTGGA